AAAAAAAAAAAAAAAAAAAAAAGACTTTGGGTGGGGCAGTTCTTTCACTGTTATTAAAGAGTGTATGAAAATATATGCTTAATAACATCTCTATTGGATTGGGTGGGTCAAATGGCACTAGGAAAATATGGCCCCTGACGGCCAAAAATGTTGTTAAATTGTTGGAGGTAAGCCACAGAACGTCCTTTTCTGTAGATGTTTAAGAGAGAAAGAAGTCCTTGTGGGAAGAAGGAGGGGAATGGGATAATCTCTGCTGGCTCAAGGAAATCTGTGAGAACAGAAGAAAGGTAACGAGAAGGAGAAATGGAATTGAAGAAACCACAGTATGACGACCCATTTTTCTTTTTCTCTTGCACACGTCTCCACCGGACAGCCAGCTGTACAAACAACTGTGCCACAAATGAGGGCGGGGCCCTTACTGCTCTTGCAGATTACTAAGCTCCCTCAAAATCTTTAAGGTACTACTGAAGTCAGACAGTTGAGAGTCCCCGTTTTTTCCTCCATCACAAACCCTCCAGTTGCAGACAGCAACATTGTCCTTCAGAAAGAAGAGTCACTGGGGGTAGTAAGCCAAGGTCTTGGCCCGGCGGGGGGCGCTGAGCTCCGCGCTGCCCCCTAGCGGTCACCTCTGTGGCCCTAGCTTCCCTGGGTCCAGCTCCCCAGCCCCAGGTCTTACACCCACCCCCTTCTTCACCTCCTCTCAGTCCCCTCCCCTTCCTCCCGGCCGCATCCCCTTCCTCTTCGTCCCCCTCCCCGAGCTGCCCCCGCTCCGGTGAAGGGGCGCCGCTCAGTCTGCACCCAGAAGTTCGGGGCTGGGCTGGGCGCGGTGCGCCTTCCCACGGCAGTCTCCCTTCCAGCCCTCACGCCCCCCAGAGTACACATCTTCTTCCCCCTCACCTCCTCGTCCGGGACGCTGCCGGCCGCGCTTTCACCGAGCCCGCCAGTTTGGTCCCGTTTCCTTCTCTAGTTAAGACTCCCTGTCACTGACGGTTACTTTTTGGCCTTTTCATATATGCATATTTTGGGGGCCTTTAACCCCCCCTCGTGGAGAAATGGAGGCAACAAGATGGCGGACCCGGAAGTGAAGACTCAGCGAATACAATTTCTGGCGGAAGGATCTGTGAGGAGACAATGACCAGAAAACCCACATTTCCATTAGAACCGAAGAGCGGCGCACCTCCGAGGCTCATTTTTTTTCCACCGATGGCCTTTTGAAGTGGAAAAGCGTGTATCCGAGACGACCCAGAGAGGACTATTTGGCGAGGCGGAGGATTGTTGTTACGTGTCTTACGTGTCGTGTAGTTCCGGTAGGGGGATGGACCCGATGGTTTGTTTTGGCGCCAATAGCCCGGCGTCGTGCGGAGGGCTAATCGGTATCAGCGTCGATCCTGTACCCTCTTGGTAACTTGTCTGGGGGCCAGCCTTAGGATTGATGGGAAAACTTTCTCTGTCTCAGCCTCCGGTGAAACTGTTGGAGACGTTCCTGGCTTTGTGCTCAAGTTGAGCCCTGGTGTCTGCTCAGAATAGTGGAACAAATAACGGAGGCTTTTTTGAGGGGCCTGGAAGGGCATGCAGCTTGAGTTTGCAAACCCACTTAACGCATTTTACTTACCAGATGATTCTCACCTTCGCCCACCGATCGCCACTACCTAAGGGCAGCGAGAAATCGGGAAAGAAGCCCTTCAAAAGTACGTGAACGTAGAAAAGGACACATTTCGGCTCTACTTTCATTAGATCTTGGCTTTTGTCGGTTTTGGTGGGCCTTTCAAAGCCAACTGTTTTCGCGTCTACCTCCTTTTCTGAACTTGGTAGTGCCATCTTTAAAGTATGGCATACTCCCCAAGTATGATCCACCTTGGTATTTACAGGTTCCCTTTTTTTGAGAGTCAAAATCTTGTTTCATTGCCGTGTGTATCCTTTTATATCTCGTGGCTCATTGCCTTTCGTATAGTAAGGACCCAAAAATGACCAGTGGGGCTTTGGTTTTAATGAGTTGAGTTATAAATAAGCAGATAACGTATTTGGATGACTTAGTTTCTTTTTTTAAGGCATCTATACTGAGATCATTAAGAGCACGGTTCGTGCCACAGATGCCTTCTGAGACATCTAGAATTACTCCCTCAGTATGTTGGTAGCCAATGGTCAAGCAGAAGAGTGGTTGTTTGCATTTCTTCCTAAATAGCTTTGTAATTTTAAGTTGATTTCACCCTTATTGATACCTGTCCAACCTGATATTCATCATTTTTAATGTACAAAGGCTACTAAAAGAACTCTTATTGAAAGACAATATATAAGCTGAAGGTGAAAGCAAGGCTAATTTCAGAGATCTATACCGCTTCTCTTTGAAGAGAGAGAAAACTAGAATCCAGGCCTGGGATTGAATGTCTTTATTCAAGAAATGAGAAAATGGCAGCACAGATCAGCAGCAATAATTTTGGAAGGAATGGGGGTACAAGGTGTAGGGTCATAATGTGATTATTTCAAGGTCTCAAGGTAGCTGAGGAACTGTGCCTGAGGCCCATTGATCAGTATTCTCCATTGCAGACGCAGGAGGTGGCAAGACTAAAACACTAAAGGTCAAACCCTATTATGCCTTTTAGAAACAGAATCATACCTTACAAATTATCATAGTACTCAGCAAGATTACATTTTAAGATTTGAAATTGGAGTCATTTCCCTCAGCTAGCGTTAGGAGCAAAGTTGTAAAGTGCAAAGGTTTGAAGGACTACCCCTTTGACAATATAGTTATTTCTGAAACGATTCAATTCTTTCCCTTATTTTCGTTTTCCATGAGGTATTATCACCTCTTGTTTTATACCTTTCATTACACCCGATTTCTCTGAGGAAAAGAAGGTATTGTAAGGAGCAAGATCCAACAGCGAGACTTAACACCTTAACAGCCTTTTAGAAATCCTACTGTCTCATAGTAGATAATCTCAAAGCTTCCAGGGTTTTCAGCGACTGTTGAAGAAAGATTTGTGTTTACCGATCTGGAGCAGGATATTAGGTTTGAGCAATCTCTGAAGAAGATTAAAATGAAAAAAAAAAAAAATTGTCCCCCATTTTGAACTACTATACTACTCTCTGGCGCCCCCCACCAGGCTTCTTTCTGGAATTAGTGTCTGGGGGGATAACTTTGGGGCTTAAGGGCTTTTGAGAAAAACTGATAACATTAAATAAATAAATAAATAAATAAATAAATAAATAAATAAATAAATAAATAACTAACTAATAAATACAGCACAACTCTGGCAGATTCATCAGCACCACCTCAACACCATAGAGGGGAGAGAGCAAGATTCACAGGACAAAGGGTGGGAAGGGAGGGGCTTGCAAGGGAAGACAGGGCAAGGTGGTGGAGAGAGGAGTCTTGGGCTTAAAGCAAGTCCAATTCGAAGGAGTGGATGCTGGCAATGGGAGCTCTCCAGAAGTTGAAGGTGCTGTACTCCAGGAGGGCATCGCCTTCGGAGTGTTTCTCCTGTTCAACTCCAGTTGGTTGCCCGGTCATCTTGCCAGCGCTGCTGTCTTTGATCTTGTAGGTGGATGTATCTGACAGACCCAGGCCTTCCAGCTCCGACAGATCCAGCTCTGGAATGGGCATCCTCCAGAAAAGAAAGGAGCTGTACTGGCTACTCACAGGGTCCCTCATAACTTCCTAGAAAGGAACCAGCTGTTAGTCCTCATTCTATAGCAACCTCTTCATGGCCCACGGCCTTTCCTTACTTAAAAACTTCACAGGGGCACCCAGGTGGCTCCTTCGGTTAAGCATCCAACTCTTGATTTGGGCTCAGGTCATGACCTCACTGTTCATGAGAGGGAGCCCCCCCCCCCGCATTGGGCTCTGCACTGACAGCACAGAGCCTGCTTAGGCTTCTCTTTCCCCCTCTCTCTGCCCCTCTCCCACTTGTATGCACGCCCTCTCTCTCTCAAAATAAGGTTAAAAAAAAAAAACTTATAAAAAAAGAAACCTTAAAAAAAAAAATAAAAACTTCCCATTATCATTTGCCTCTGTACGTGATCCAGATTTCCTAGGACAAGCTTTGGGAACCTTTCCTTTATTACTATTTTCTACCATTTCCTGCCTTCTCCCATCTTGGAAGGACTTATTCACTGCCTAATGCTTCAAGTCAATCTTGGGTCTGGTTTTCAAGGCTTTCTAGAATTTGGCTCATCCTTCCTAGCCATGGTACAGTCTCTGCTAGTTATGCTCATTTCTGTCTTGCTTAACTTTGTCTACTCTCCATCTTTTGTATTTATTATTATTTCTTTTACGTACAAGATCATCGGTTTACTATAAAAGGATACAACTCAGGAATGGCAGATGGAGGAGATACACAAGGCCAAGTACAGGAAAAGGGCGCAGAGCTCCCATGCCCTCTCCAGGTGCTCCACTCTCCCCACATCATGTGTTTCCACCAACCTGGAAAGCTCCTCTCTGCTCTCCATCTTAAAATACCACCCAAGTTTCAAGACTACCAGGAGTCCCTAGAAGAATTCAAGTCCTTAGAGAAATCATTCCCCTGAATTCTTATGTTTTTAAATACTTGACTTTTTCCTAACTTTGGTTTAATAGGTACCTCTAAAAAGGGCTTTGAGAGAGAGAGAGAAAGCATGAGCCAGGAAGGGGCAAGAGAAAGAGGGAGACACAGAATCTAAAGCAGGCTCCAGGCTCTGAGCTGTCAGCACAGAGGCTGATGCAGGGCTTGAACCCATGATTGTGTCCTGAGCTGAAGTCAGACGGTCAACTGACTGAGCCACCAAAGCACCCCTAATTTTCTCTCTTTATCCATCTATAACTTGCCACTCCCATCTTTTAGCCCACAGGTCAGCCTGAACAGCCTGTATTTATAGTTTTCTCTAGCCTACCTCTCCTTCAAAACAAAGCCCAGGTAGGTGCTGAAAGAATTTTCCTATGCTATAACAAGACCTTGATTCTCTGATCCTAATGCTAGAATTTACCTGAGAGCAAATGGATTGGGAATTCCAGGTAAGGAAAGTAAGAGTTTAGACCGGAAGGAGAAAGTCCTTTGACAGAATTCAATACTTTTCTATGCTCTAACAAGTACTCCTATCATCTTTTCCCACCCACACCCTGATGTTATAGGACTAGTATGCCTCCTGCACCCTGCTGGTTACTAGCCAAGAAGGGGCAAAAGCATTAGTTGAAATGTTCCCAAAGAAGCAGAATGAACATTCCACTGCCTCCAAAAATAGAACCCCCATTTTAAAAGGCCTTCCTCCCAGTACATTCCATTGGCTCCTACCAGGCCTGAGGCTCCTAAACAGTGGCTTTAAATAGGTTCCCAACTGCCCCCATATAATGTGTTAGGCGAACATGAGAACCACTGCACTACAGGAACTATAACCGCATATAATGTGAACTGTCTCTACTGAGCCAGAACAAAAAAGCCTTAATCTAGAGCACAGTTATGTGTGAGTGTAGGGGCTTTAGGACTGGTGAGTGGGCAGACCAGGATGTTTTTAATGTCAAAAGCCAGTTCTCAGTTGCTCTTTTTCTTCTTAGGTTCAGGCTCCAAAATAAACCCTGGGAACTGAGCATTACTCAGCAGAGAAATTGCTTAGAAGGAAGGTTATGTGGGGACTGGAACAGGGTGGGGGAGGGTGCTGGAAAGGTGAGGTCATCATCCTATGATACTCAACTCTGATCATTTCCACAGTAATTTCCAGAGACGTGCACAGTAAGAGTTACAAAAAATGGTTGGACCTATCAGACTACCTACTCTAGCTTCAGACAGGGACCACCTTAGGATCATCAATGTTACGGACTTCTGACCAGAGACTTTTTTTTTTTCCTCTTCTTCTTCCTTCCTTTTCTTTTTTAACTAAATTGCCAGTTATTTGCCTACATTGCTGGCTTTTTTTTTTTTTTTTAATATCTCCTCCCTTACCAGTCCTCTCCAGATCAAGCTTAGTATAATGTGGGCACATGATAGAGTCTTTAAAAAATAGAATCACAGGGGGGAAAAAATCATAGAATTTTAAAACTAGAAGACATGTTTAGGGTTCCTGGATGGCTCCGTCAGTGGAGTGTTTTACTCTTGATCTTGGGGTTGTGAGTTTGAGCCTCATGTTGGGTGTAGAGATTACTTAAATAAATATATTCTGTGCTGTAACGTACGGTATATTTTTTTTTTAAAAAAGGAAAGAAAAGAAAACATGTTAGAAATTATCTGCTGACTCGTGAAGCCTTCCAGCCAGTTAGAACATAGGTCTCATTCCCCATCTGGTCTTTGTTGATGTGTTGTACATAGATAGTTGCGTACAGTTTTATATAATCCTATACCAATATTCTCAAAACTTGCAAGAATTCTTAGTTGCTGAAGAACAGATACTCAGTAGATTACATGTTGACTGTTCCTGTGATTCTGATCTGAATGATGAAAATGCAGAAGACAGTAGAGAGCAAGCTAGAATCTGAGACAGTGAAAAAGCTCTTTGACAAACTGACTCCTTTTCTTAAAACCAGATATGTATAAAAATTGTCTAAACAATCCCTGAGCGTCTGGCAGAGCATATCTTGCAATAAAAAAATGCTAAAGGAAATTTTACGAAATATTAACTTACAAGGCCTAAAATCTCTAGCTATGCCATGAACTCGGAGACATGTACAGAGAGTACCAAATGCATAGAAAGACACTCATACAAGCATGTATGACATTTAAATTCAAGTCAAGAACACTGACCACTCAGAAAATTGCAACTAAAATACCATTCACACTACTCTCATCAGTAAGGAAATTCTGGTGTTTAATATAGTATGGATTTAATTCCCAAGTCTCCAAATTTTGCAGGAGGTCCCTGTTCAGCAAGCTTTCTCTTCCCCTCCCCAGCTGTTCTCCATCCATACCTCATCTCTCTTTCAATTTCTTAAAGGGCTTGGACAGTGCCTTGTACCACAATATATGCTCAATAAATCCTTCCAAATGTCCTTCATTTTAAATGATCCAGATACTTTAGGCAAAGGTAATTTCTAAATATCACCCTTTGTATTCTTAGGGATACATGATTAGCAAATATGTAGTATAAAAAGACACACTCTCTCTGAGCCCCACAGACACACCCAAATACCCTTTGTCTAGACCCTCTGTGGGAACCCAAGGCCTACCTGCCTGACAGGGCCTTGCTGTGTCATGCTGCCACCATTGGGGGGAATGACAGGGATGGTGGTTGGAGGGGATGGAAGCTCTCTGGCATTTCAGTATAAGTGCATCCCTCATTCTGGTCTTGGATTTCCCTGTTAGCCATGACCTTCCCCCATCTATTCTCACTGAGCTGCAAATAAGCATTCCTTCCCAGAATCTGCTATGTAGCTTTTGTGGGCTGTACTGATTTCAATATAGGATCAGGCAGTTCTCCAACACAGAGGCCCCCACCTTCCTACCTCAAGCTGCCTCTTTCTTTGGAGCAAAGGTTTGAGATGGGGAGTGGGAGGCTGTTAAAGGAGAGGTCAGGATTACTTTCAATATTATGTCATCCCTTCCCCCAAATTCCCTCCTATGGAGACAAATAAGTTTGGGGTGAAGGCAGACACATCAATGGAACACCACAGAAAAAAAGTATATATATATATATACGTATATATATACATATATATATATGTATATATATACGTATATATGTATATATATACATATATATGTATATATATACGTATATACGTATATATATACATATATATATGTATATATATACGTATATATGTATATATATACATATATATATATAGGGAAGTACAGGCTAGAGCAATACAGTAAGACTACAGATTCATCAAAAAACAGGTAAAACAAATTATAGCTTGAAAAGGAAGATGGAGATAACAAATGAAGATAATAAAACACCTAAGACAAATTATAGGCAAATAGATACTTGAAATGAGATAAACGCTGAGAAATAATAATTCCATGTAAATTGTTAGAAATTAATGTCTATGTATTAGAAGGCAATAATGGAAATCTTAGCAAAGGGATCTAAAAAGGTGACCAAAACCTACCCATTGGTCACAGCGCCCCTTCTCTTGAACTGTCCCCCCCTCATCCTTATTAAGGGTCTTCAACCTAACCAGAAGCAGCTGCTCTTTTATCTTTGCAGCCCCTTGCCCCCCTTCCCGCAATTTAGTTTACCTGTTATCAATGAATTACTAGTGTGTTCCCAAGATGGAAGGAGTACCTCGAGGCTCTGGCGTCTGCTCAGGGCTGGAGAAAAAGCAAGCTGTTGGGGCTTTGACGGCTTTGTCTTCTCACTCCCTCTCTCGCTCCAGTGGCTGAGTCTATCTGCTCAGTCTCCCCCTGCAATGCAGCCCCTCCTAAGAAGGGCGGAAGGACTCCCCGCCCCCTCCTTGCCTGACTCGGCTAATTCAAATGATAGGTTCCAGAACACTTCAGGGAGGGAGACAGGATTAAAGCATCTCCGTAGGCTTTATTGGTCGGCACAATTATTCCGGAGCTCTTCCCGCACCCCCCTGCTGCCTGGGGTGCAATGAATGAGTAGTTAATTGTCCCCTAATTTTAGGCTTATGGATTTAAAAAGCTTAACTCTGGATAACAATAGAGGGGTGTCCCTTTATGCCTCAATTTAAGGATTTCAAGTTACGAAATGTTTTATTTTTGAGAATCCGAAAAAAAATCCTCGCCCCTCCCCCCTCCA